ACATGAGAGGGGGCAGGGTCAGAGGGAGAAGCAGGCTTCCCGCAGAGCAGGGAGCCCGATGTGGGGCTCGATCCCAGGACCCTGGGATCATGACCTGATGTTTCATTATAGAGACATATCACAGTTTATCCGTCCTGTTGCTGATGGGCAGTTGAATTGTCTCCGGTTTTGACTCTTAGAAATAATGCTACTGTGAGCATTCCTGGCTTGCCTCTTCGCCATGTGCTGTCTACTTATATCAAACTTTCCAGGTGTTTGTTTATTCTTCTGTCCTTGTTCAGCATAGCATCTCCTAGTTTCCAGCCCATGAAGCTTTAGATAATGCCTGGGACTTATGTCTGCTGGGAAGGCAAAGGGAACAGAAATGAATGAAAGCATTCATGACACCAATTGGTCAGAGGTGCTTAGATAGGGGTTCACTATGAATCTAAGGGGAGGGGTAGGCCTCTTGGTCAGTGGCAAAAAGTCAGATTCTCTGAGACCGGAGCCAGCACGTTCTTCTGTTTTCTTCCCTGAGCCCTGGGCATTCTGTCTCTTGCTGGTCTCTCACAGGACATGATGAGCTACATCGGGCCTGAGAGGACAGCAGTCGTGAGAGGGATCACACACCGAGAGGCCTTTAACATCATCGGCCGCCGTGTAATCCAAGTAGCGCAGGCCATGTCTTTGACCGAGGCCGTGCTCGCTGCGGCCCTGGCTGACCACCTTCCAGAGGACAAGTGGAGCTCTGATAAGAGGCGGCCCCTCAAGTCCAGCTTGGGTAGGGTGACAGGGCTTTGCCGTGAGAAGGGACAGGGAAATGAATGATGTGGAGGCGATGGGGCAGGAGGGGAATCTGTGTGCGGACTCTTTACTCCTTTCTTCTGTGGTTTCACCTTTTTAGTTAAAGCCCTCAGTGCTCCTCATCCCAGTTTTATCCTCCCTTGGGTTCCATGATGGCCATTAGCCCCATTCCAGAGGCGAGACAAGTTCAGCTCAGCCAGGCTTCTCTGACTCCTGTTTCCCTAGGCTATGAGATCACCTTCAGTTTACTCAACCCGGACCCCAAGTCCCACGGCGTCCACTGGGACATCGAAGGGGCCGTCCGGCGCTATGTGCAGCCCTTCCTGAGTGCCCTCAGTGCTGCGGGCAACTTCTCTGTGGACTCTCAGGTGAGACTGGCAGCAAGCCGAGGAGTCCCTTCCCAGGCCGCACCGTCCTTTCCAGAGTCCATGCGTATTTATTGTTTTCAAGTGGAGTCTGTTCTTCCAGCTCTTAGAGCTTGCTGATCTGCTGGGAATTGCCTGTGCGTTGATATGACTCTAGTGTCTGCTTTTCCTCCACGGTGTCCAGCTCAGGGGCTTTTGTCAAGGTTTGTTAAAAAACGACCTTCCTTATGACCCTGTCGAACTGGATTCACCCAGTCGTGCCATCCTTAAGGAATTTATTTTAAAAATAAAACTTCCTGAAATATGTTCATGTAGTAGAAGATGGAAAGAATGTAGCTTCCTATGTGTGAAGAATGTATCACACAGTGTCCTTTTAGGGAAAATGTGGGAGAGGTTTTTATCAGGTCTTGCTAGTGGGAGTACTTCTGAGTAACTGACTTGAATTGATCTTGTGGACACTGAATTATGCTATTCTTGTTTCCCTCTTTGTTTAGGCTCTTAGAAAGCCTGGTAAAAAATGTGATTTCAAAGCATATATTTAGTGTATTAACTTTACCCTTGGCTTTGTTATTTTTTTTCCCTACACCTATTTTCTCTCAGCTCTGATTTTGTTTCTTTATATTTTGTCCTGTCCTAACTGTATCTTTTTAAGGCACTTCAAATCCTTTTTGGGACAAAGTAGAGCATGAATCAATACACAAAATAATGTCCTCCTTCTTTGCTTTACAGATTCTTTACTATGCAGTGTTGGGGGTAAACCCACGCTTTGACCCAGCTTCTTCCAGCTACTACTTGGCCGCACACAGCCTCCCTCATGTCATCAACCCAGTGGAGTCCCGGCTGGGTGAGCTGAGGATGAGGGTCTATCTGCCAGGCTGGGGAGGGACCCTCAAGGCTCAGTGTGGGGTTGGAGGCTGGTAGTATATAGTTATGGTTCCCAGGTTGGGTGGTCTGAGGGCGTCAGGGAAGTGCTGGGCATTTAGGCTCTTTTTTCATGAGATTCTGTTGACATGTCTAATTTCACAGTATCATATCCAAAAACATTTATTAAAATGACTCCCAGTGCTTTTTGTAAAGAAACAGATAGGCTGCATCTCCCTCCGTGCAAGCCATCCAGGAAAGATATGGTCACGCATGTAGGAAAGATAACAGCAAAAGTACACGAAGGCAGAATTTGGATGGACAGTTCTGCTGATTAAGGTTTGAAGCTGGAATTCCAGTCTTTCATTTTGAGGGTGGTACCTACAAAGAATAAGATGACCACAAGCTATAATACAGGCAAACCAAAGTTAGTATATCACTGGTTGTGGGATTTCAGACAGTAAGGCTAGGCCAGTGTGGACCACAATATGAGAGGGACTGCAGGTGATCCCTCCCTCCCTCCCTCTTTCCCTCTCTTCCTTCCTCCCTCCCTCCTTCTTTCCCTCTCTTCCTTCCTCCCTCCCTCTGGCAGTGTGGAGTACAGAGATTCAGAAGGGCTTTCCAGGTAAGGAAAACTCTGAGCTTAGATGTAGAAGAGGCAGAATGGATTGGCATTCAGGAAGCTCGCAGAAGTTTAGTGTAGCTGAATTGTGAGGGAGTGACCGAGTTGCAGCTGGCAAGGCGGGCTGGTGCCAGATCATAAGGACCATGGTAAGTAGCTTGAACTTTTACCTGGTGTGAATGGCTAGCTACTGAAGGATTAAGAGGGAATTGACATGAGGTCTTTTTTATACTTATATATAAAATGGGTTATAATTATATGGGTGTGATGTAGCAATGCCCAAGAGAGTGGTCTTAGACAGTCATGGGGGGCCTGTTAGAGGAGGGGAGATTCCAGGGGCCTTTGGGGGGCTAAGGACTCTACATGTATGTGGCACATCTTGGGAGAATGTTCAGAGGAGGTTCTTGACCACAGAAACCCAGGACTGGAGGATATCCCGGTGATTATCAGCTAGGGAAAATGAGGACCAGAGTGAGTGACCAGAAAGTTAGAGAGGCTGACCTGGAACTGAGATTTAGATCCAGCAGGTTTTGATATTCTGACTTCCCTTCTCTTTGTACCATAGGATCCAGCGCTGCCTCCCTTTACCCTGTGCTCAACTTTCTGCTGTATGTACCTGAGCTTGCCCACTCCCCCCTGTACATTCAGGACAAGGATGGGGCTCCAGTGGCCACCAACGCCTTCCACAGTCCCCGCTGGGGTGGCATTATGGTAATGATCATAAAGCCCCAGCTTTAGGGACAGACAGACGTTCCTAAGACTGTTCCTTCTGTTGTTCCTCTAGTGTCCTCCATGGCCCAGCCTGTGGGAGGGGCAGCACCAAGGAGGTGCGGGTGCTATGAGCTCGGCCCCTCCTCTGCCGGCCCCACGGCTTCTTATTTCTGTCAGTGTTTTCTATGATACGACCCTTCTACATGTAGCAGTTTGCACTTACTGAGGACTTCTCTGTGTGTACATCTTAGATCTTGGCCCTGTTTATGGGAGTCTTGCAAGGTTGGGAAGTTTGTTTCTCCCGTGAGACTGGGAGTTTCTCATAGGTAGGAACTCTTAAAATGGAATAAAAAATATTTTTTACAGGACTTTTGAGGGGATAATGGAGATAATTTATGAAAAGCTCCTAATAGGTATTCGAAAAAATATTAGCTATACCATCAGGTTTGTAATTTCTAAAGACATTTCTAAAAAGGTCTCCTTTTTCTCTCCCCACCTCCAGAGTGTCTAGGGCAGAGCCGTGAAAGGTCCTGGTGTGGTCCTGAGGCAACCTCATTTCCCCCTGCAGGTCTACAATGTGGACCCCAAAGCCTACAATGCCTCGGAGCTGCCAGTGAGGGTTGAGGTGGACATGGTGCAAGTGATGGAGGTGTTCCTGGCTCAGTTGCGGTGAGGTCCTGGCTGATGCGCCTGGGGGCGTGGTCACTGAGTCTGACCCCAGTCTCCTGAGCGGACTGGAATGAAATCTCACCCGGCAGGGAGACCTCAGCTGTGCCTAGAGCCCCAGGGAAACCAGGAAAGGTTTCTAAGGATCACCTTACCCTTCTCCTAAGAAGGAGTAGTTGCTGACAAAAACTATTTGAAGAAAAGCAGACTCCTGAGTGTCAGGTCTGTGGGGTGTGATTAGGGGTGCTTAAGAAAATAGCTACTAATTCTGAAGCTAACTGGTACATTAGTGGCTGCCTGCTGCCCTGTGTTGAGGATTCTAGGGCTGTGCCTGGGATCATCAGGAAAGAGGATTCTGGTAGATTAGCAATGTCTGCCCTGGGTACAGGATTAGAGAGGCACAGCACAGGTGCTTAGTAGAAGTGGTGCTGGATCGGGGCGCCGGATGGCTCAGTCGGGGAGCGGCTGATTCTTGGTTGTGGCTCAGGTCATGATCTCCGGGTCATGGGATCGAGCCCCGCATTGGGCTCCATGCTCAGTGCAGAGTCTACTTGTCTCCCTCTGCTCCTCCCCTGTTTGCTCACGCGCGCGCGCGCGCTCGCTCTCTCTTAAATAGATAAATAAAATCTTGAAAAAACCAAAAAAAGAAGTGGTCCTGGATCATCCCTTAACTAAAGGCTCAGTGGTCCCATTTGTCCAAAGAGAGCGTAGGCAGGGTGAGGGGATTAAACTAGGTTGGTATTACCAGAAATTTTTAGCCATGGGACCTTTTTTCAAACAAGATCTTGGAAATCCAAACCAGAAACAGATAAAAGCAAAAACACTGGTTAAAATGGGGCCTGAGGCTCTGTTTTGCTTAGTGTTGCCACTCATTCCCCACCCTGACAAGACCCTGAGGCACTTCCCTGTGACTTTGGTGATTCTGGGTAAGATTGAAAATCTTAGTCATTATTCTAGGAATATTAGCCATTTTCTACTCTCAGCCTTCCTTACTTCACTCTTCCACAGGCTGCTCTTTGGGATTGCTCAGCCCCAGATGCCTCTGAAATGCCTGTTTTCAGGGTCCAAGAGTGAAGGGCTAACGACCTGGGAGCTCGACCAGCTGCTCTGGGCTCGGTCAGTGGAGAATGTGGCCACAGCCACCACCACTCTCACTTCCCTGGCCCAGCTTCTGGGCAAGATCAGCAACATTGTCATCAAGGACGATGTGGCATCTGAGGTGAGTGAGCAGGGGATGGTGTGACCAGAGTGGCCAGCAAGGGCCGGGGTGTGGTGAAACCAGAGAGCCAGTTGAGGCCCAGGGTGTGTGTGGGCATGCCATCCTTGAGTGCCCCAGGCTTCCTCTAGGGGGCAGTGCCAGGTCCCCAGCCCGATGCCAGGTGGGGTGTGAAGTTTTAAGCAGGCACACACATTAAAAAAAATACACCGTAGCCCTTTTACACTGGCCTCCATATCGTGGGCAAACTCCAGGCAACGTGCCTGGTAGATGGAAGACACAGTAAGACCCATCCCCCCTCCCACCCCAGCACCTCCCTGGTGCCTGGTACTTACTGGTAACCCCCTGCCCCCTTCCTAGGTGTACAGGGCTGTAGCTGCAGTCCAGAAGGCAGCAGAGGAGTTGGCCTCTGGGCACCTGGCCTCTGCCTTCATTGCCAGCCAGGAAGCTGTGACATCCTCGGAGCGTGCCTTTTTTGATCCCTCGCTCCTCCACCTCCTCTATTTCCCTGATGACCAGAAGTTTGCCATCTATATCCCACTCTTCCTGCCTATGGCTGTACCCATCCTCCTGTCCCTGGTCAAGATCTTCTTGGAAACCCGCAAGTCCTGGAAAAAGCCTCAGAAGACAGACTGAGCAGGACAGCATCTCAGCAGGAAGCCTTCCTTTCTGGCCAGAATGGGAGCTGTTAGATTGAGAGGCACAGAAATGGGGCCTGCCGTGAAGGACTTAGCTCCAGTAACCAAAGTACAACACTCCAAGCAGGGTTCCTCTTTCTTTCCCTTCCCATTCCTCTAGCTCAGGTTCCCCCCACAACCTTTGTGCCCTCCCTCTTCCCCTTCCTCCAGAAGATAGTCATTTGGGTCTCCTTATCTGGCTTAAACTTGAAGGCCCTTTCCTTTCTCCCTCGGGGCAGGGGCAGTTTGTTGTGCTTCCGTCCTGTTCCTCGCAGTCCTCTTGAACTCAGAGGGAGCATTAGGGGAAAGCCCTGGGTTGGATTCTAGCCCCCTCCCCTCCACACTTCTCTCTGATCCCTCAGGGAGAGCCCTAGCACTGCTCTCATGGAAGGGGCCAGGTCACCTCTGGGGCCTTCTCCTCTCCTCCCCTCCCTCCTGGCTGGCTGTGCCTGTTGGGTATAGCCTGATGCTTTGCGTGTGGCCGAGTTTCCCTTCACCCTTTTATAGAGGTAGTGTGGTGCAGTGGGGAAGGGTCCAGACTTTGGGATCACGCATGCCTGAATTCAGACCCTTGTTTCTGTACCTTCTGCACTTCTCGTCTGGGGAGCATTGAATAAGCCACTTAATCTCCCTAGCCTCAGTTTTTCATTTGTTCAAACAGCACTAATGATACCTCCCTTACAAGGTGGTTATGAGGATTAAATGTGATAAGCATATGAAAGTGTCTGGCATATTTTAGGCTTTCAATAAACATTGGTTGAATGTGAATTGGAATGATATGAAGTATGAGCATACCTTTCATTCTTCATTTGTGTCCAAGTAATGGTTTCCTGCTATCTGTCCTGGGCTCACAGGCCCAGCTTGCTTAGACCTGGCCATGTGCCCTACAGAGAGGCCCCGCTTCCCTGCCCTGGAGGGCCCTGTGGTGGTGAGACGCCTAGGCTGTTGTCCCTCAGCATGTCCAGGGACATGCTGTTAGCATCTACTTCTGCCTTTTTCGCAGGGGGTCTGGGAGAGAATAGCTTGTACCAGTGTAAGCCTTTAAATACAAACTCATTCATAAATAAAAAATATATTAAGCATGGGCTGCAACAGGCACTGTGCTAACTGCCAGGTATTACAGAGAACAAAGACAGGATCTCTGCTTCCATGGAAGTGATCTTTTAGGGGGGAGAGTCAGTGAACAAAAACTAATTTCAGATAATGCATTAGAAGGGAAAAACAGGCTGATCAGATGGTGACGGGGGCTAGTACTTTAGATTGAGTGTGAGGGGGCGTGGCCTTTGAGCAGATGACATTTGAACTAAGACCAGAAGAGGAAGCCATTTCGGGGAAGAGCATCCCAGGCAAAGATCCTGAGGCGGGAACTCGCTTAAGGGGCAGACGGAAGGACAGAGTGGCGGGAGCGCAGCGAGTAAGGAGTCAAGGTAGACGGGACTCCTTAAAGTACCCAGCGAAAAAAATGAATGAAGCCCAAGGCGAGGCCCCACCCAGCCCCAGGGGAGTGGACCCAGGTTGGCGCGCCAGCAGCCTTTCGGCTGGGGTGGGCGGGGCCCGTGGCTGACCCACCCCTGGGGGCGGGGCGGTACCTGGGGCCCCGGCCGGGGGCGGGGCTGCAGACGCTCCCCCTTCTCTCGGCTCCAGCCGGCGCAGGCAGCCGCCGCGGCAGCAGGCGAGCGGCGGCCCGGCGAGGCCATGAAGGTGAAGAAGGGCGGCGGCGGGGCTGGGACGGGGGCGGAGCCCGCTCCAGGGGCCTCCGGCCCGAGCGTGGAGCCCAAGCCCGAGCTGCAGCTGCAGGCGGAATCCGAGTCCGGGTCCGAGTCGGAGCCGGAGGCTGGCCTGGGGCCCAGGCCAGGGCCGCTGCAGAGGAAGCAGCCGATCGGGCCAGAGGACGTGCTGGGGCTGCAGCGGATCACGGGCGGTGAGCACCGGCGAGGCAGCGCCGCCCGCGGCGGGAGGGCGGGAGGGAGAGAGCGCGGGAGGGGGCCCTCGCGGGGCGCTGAGCCTGGGCCCCCGCCCCCTTTCCCGCCCTACCTCCCCTCCCCCACCCGGGTGCCCCTCGCCTGAGTTCCCTACCCTTCTGCCTCGGAGCCTGAGATCTCCATGTCCCCTCTTCCCTTGATCTCCTTGTGCCCGCCTCTTTTCCCTTTAGACATTTATTTTCACCCTACTTCCTTTCTGAGGAGGCCGTCCCCCTTTCCCGTGGTGGAGGTGGGGCAGCAGCTGCAACTGTGACCCCTTCCCCGTGGAATCTTCAGGGCCCTTTGAGGCTTTTCTCTGCAGTAATGAGGATGGGTGCTGAGTGCAGTCTGTCCTCAGTCCCCACCCTGGAGGCTAGGCGGAGGCTGAGCTATTTAGGTGACATTAAGACCCTCCAGTCTCCCTGACCATTAAATGCCCTCACTCTGGGTCCCCCAGGAAGTCTGGGTCCATTCTCCAACCCCAGGAAAGAACCTGGGCAGGAAGCTTCAGTGGGTTGGCTCTGGGCCCTCTTAAGAGAGTACGTTAATGTGTGTGT